GCTGATCTCATAAAATAAGTTGAAAAGTATTCCATGTTATTTTATTTTCTAGGATAAATAATGTAGAATTTGTCTTATTCAGATTTATTTATTTATTTATTTATTTTTGAGATGGAGTCTTGCTCTGTCACCCAGGATGGAGTGCAATGACATGATCTCAGCTCACTGCAACCTCTGTCTCCCAGTTCAAGTGATTCACCTGCCTCAGCCTCTAGGACTACAGGTGCGCGCTGCCATGCCTGGGTAATTTTTCATGTTTTTCAGTAGAGATGGGCTTTCTACGTGTTAGACAGGATGGTCTCAACCTCCTGACCTCATGATCCACCAGCCAAGGCCTCCCAAAGTGCTGGAATTTCAGGCATGAGCCACTGCACCCATCTCATATCTTATTTATTATTTTAATATTAAGTAAAATTAGTCAGTGAAATTGTAAAAACCTCTTGATTTGTTTTTTGAAAGATTTTTGACCATGAATTCAATATCTTCAGTAATTACAAAAATTTACACATTATTTTGCCTGAGTTGGGTAGACTATGATCTTGCATGTTTGATCCATTTTATCTAATTTGTTGAATTTATGAGTACAGAGCCAGTTTTAGATCATTTTTATTTTTTTATTTATTTATTTTTGAGATGAGTTTTGCTCTTGTTGCCCAGGCTGGAGTGCAATGGCAGGATCTTGGCTCAACGAAACCTTCACCTCCTGGGTTCAAGTGATTCTCCTGCTTCAGTCTCCCAAGTAACTGGGATTACAGGCATGTGCCATTATACCAGGCTAATTTTTTTTTTTTTTTTTTGTAGAGACAGGATTTCTCTATGTTGGTCAGGCTGGTCTCAAATTCCCACCCTTAGGTGATCCACCTGCCTCGGCCTCCCAAAAGGTTGGGATTACATGCGTAAGCCACCGCGCATGGCTTCAGACCATTTTCAAAAGTTACCATGTGGGCCAGGCAGGGTAGTTCATGTCTGAAATCCTAGCACTTTGGGAGTCCAAGATGGGCAGATCACTTGAGGCCAAGAGTTGGAGAGCAACCTGGCCTACATAGTAAAACCCCATTTCTACTAAAAATGCAGGAAAATTAGCCCAATGTGGTGGTGTACATCTGTAATCCCAGCTACTAGGGAGGTTGAGTCACAAGAATTACTCGAACCCAGGAGGCAGAGGTTGCGGAAATTATGCCACTGCACTCCAACCTGGGTGACAGTGGGAGATTGTCTCCAAAAAAAAAGGAAAAAAGTTGCCATTGTGAATAGGTTGATCAACATAAAGACACTGCTAGGTAACAGTTTGCCTCTCTTGATTGGCTTAAGGCTATTCAGTCAGCACTATGTTGCAAGAAGCAATCTGTATGGCCTGCTCTGGAGAGCTACTTTTGCCCCAGGCTTCTGATTAAGTTTAGGCACTGAAAGACAACTGCTGTTCAGAGCTATGGAGTAGTAATTTATTACCTTGTTTTGTTTCACCTGGACCTTGGGATATGGAATTATTTTATCTGAAGTCAAAAACAAGCCTGCTGCGGTGGCTCACAACTGCAACCCACAGCACTTTGGAAGGCAGGGCAGGAGGATCACTTGAGGCCAGGAGTTTAAAACCATCTTGGGTAATAAAGTGATAACCCATCTACACACACACACACACACACACACACACACACACACACACACACTAGCCAGGCATGGTAGCTCATACCTGCAGTTCCAGCTACTTATGAGGCTGAGAAGGGAGGACTGCACGACCCAGGATGGTTGAGGCTGCAGTGAGCTATGCTTGTGCCACTGAACTCCAGCCTAGGTGAAATGCCAGAACCTGTCTCAAAAAAAAGTGGAAAAAAAAAGCCAAAAATACTGTGGAGTGGCCCTTTCTTCAAGTATTTGCTTGCTTTCTCTAACACCACTCATTCTAGTGCCCCTACTGAGCTTGAAACGATAATGCTTTCTTCAGGTGTCAATGCTGGTGCACCTATCTCCCAAGGCTGTCTCAAAACTCCAACAGGGAGGACCTAGTGGTACCAGGTGCAACTTCCCTAGCACAGAGCAAACAGCAGTCTGGGAACCTGGAAACAACCAGCTCTGTGAAACCAAGGACTCTGTGAACAGGAGAAATTACTGGTTCCAGACATAGCCAGTTTTAGAGAAAGGAATGGCATTGTCATCAAAAAAAACACAGACTCGATTGTTTGTGACAGAAAAACTGCCACAAATGCTTATACAGGGACAGCCGACATGGAGAACTAAGGGAAACTACTGAGAGCTGCACCTCCATGGAGTAACTGCCATCCGGCACAGTGCCAGTGAGAAACCCGCCACTCCATGCAATGACCCAAACTGCCACGGAAATGCATCTGATGTCACCAACAAGCGGTGCTACCAGGAGAAACGGCCACTTTTGAAGAAAACAGCTAAGAACACCACTAAGAGACACTCGGCTCCCAGGAAGAATCGGTAGTTTGTTCCAAAACACAGCCTGATAAACCGAGAACTCCCGGAGTGGTAGCACCAAAACAGGGTCACTCAGCACCTCTGCAGCCTGGGCTCTAGCAAACCTCACAGAAGCAACAGGGCAGTGCTGCCACCAAGGAGCATCTTGAGCGGCAAAACCAGCAGTAATGCCATCGACGAAAGGCCATTGAGGCATTAAAAGTAGAGGATTTAGTTCTGGGGATCACAAGCCAGGCAAACCAGACAGAAAAGCTGAGGGCTGACAAAACAAAAATTAGTAACTATTGTTTTTTTTAAAAGGGCAAGTTGGCTGAAATGTACGTGCACACACACAATAAAAACAATACACTTAGAAAAATTCATCAAATGAAAATTCAAAACTAAGCAAAATATAGAAAACTGACTCTACGAAGAAGAAAATCTAAACACTTCTAAGCACAGTGGTTTCACAGCTGTGAGATCACTGTCATGCCTATATCAATATCTGCTTGGTCTCACCGAGACTTCTAACTAAGTGACTACAGGCACTGCTAAACCTCTACTTGCTACTCCTAAAAGATCTTCTTCATCGACATGCCCAGACTTCAGTATTTAAAATTCAGGCATAACTAAAGCAGGATAAGTTATTATGAAACCGAAAGCTACTGGGACTAAGAAGTCACAGGCATGGCTACGCTAGTACTGGTTGTGACTAAATATGGACTTGCAAGAGCTAAGAAATCACATTCACAGGAGTGTTGTGAAAAGCTGCAAAGGAGAAAGGACTTACAGAGTGCCTACATAAATTGGTTATCAGTAACATATAAACAAGCAACAACAAACTGTGGAAGGCCACAGGAGGCCTCTGAGGAGGAAGGCCTCTTCATGCCTCATGTTCTGGTGCAGGGTGATCTAGGCTCTGTTACCATAAACATTGTGCTCAAGGATGTAAAACACCTTTGTAGCACTATGACATAGCCAGACTCATAGGCTCCTTGTAAGGCCCACGTTCTATCAGCTACAGATAGATAATAAGCTAAAGTTAACCACATGTTCTTGTTTTGTGAAACTCCCACACTGCCACTGTTATCAATCCTTAGAATGGCACACCAGTTCTGGCTCCGGTTCACTGATTCAGTTCAGGCTCACTGATTCACTCCACCATCACCCTCTCCCCACCATTACTCCACCCCTACCCAGATCAAAGTGATGGTATCCAATAAATAGAGTGAATGATCAGAGCTTGGGGCCTTCACCGTCACCTCCAGAGTGATGAAGTGATGGTACCCTGGTCCCACTTTTTCTCTTAGACTGTCTTTCTCTCTTTCCTTTGTTGCCACCTAACTTTGGGTACCCACTGGTGATATAGGGCTGGCTTCCTACAAGGGGCACTTAGGATAGAGGCATGCACTTGTTACTCTAAGAAACCCCTATCTCAGGACTTGCTCAGAATAAGATATGTTGAATGCAGAGTTAAGCATTTTTATCGAAGACGAAATAAACCGATACTTACTCTGATTAAATCACAACTTGCTAGGCAGAGAAACCACCATTAGGGCTATCTTCTGAGTTTAAGAGGTTTAAAACTCCTGACAAAGCAGACAAAGCAGAAAGGGCTGACACGAACCCGCAGTGCCTACCGGAGCTAAACCCAGTTGTTGTACCATTAACCAATTGGTAGTTCTCTTACAAACAACGCTAAACTATTCCAAAGGAAAAGATGCAGGAAGAACTGCTAGCCTTGAGACCCATGAATAAGTAGTCTTTTCAATTATTTGTTTATCTTGAGACAGGGTCTCGCTCTGTTGGAGAGTGCATTGGTGCCATCCAGCTCACTGCAGCTTTGACCTCCTGACCTAAGCGACCCACCCACCACACCCTCTGGAATAGCTGGGACTACAGGTGCGCACCACCTCACCTGGCTAATTTCTGTATTTTTTGTAGACAGATTTCACCCTGTTGCCCAGGGTGGTCTCAGACTCCTGAGCTCAAACAATCCTCATGCCTCTCCTGCTGAAAGTGCTGGGATTACAGCTGTGAGCCATGCTGCCCCACCAGAATAAGTAATATTAGGAACTGGTAATCTCTGCAGTTGTATTAATATAAGAAATTGCATGGTCCATCCATGAGAAATAGCAAAGACTGATAAACCCCTCAGTCTTCTCACCACGAATAAAATTCCTGAGTGAATTGCTATACTGAAAAAAGACATTTGTTAAAAATAAAATTAACAATTAAAATTAAGACATTATAATAACGTTAAAGATGTTATTATAATAAAATAAATTTAAATGAAATGAAAACAAACAATACATTTAGAAAGAAATAATTCTATTCAAAAAATTATGAGTAGAATTTAAAAACAAAATGGAAAAAATGAATAAATTTTAAATTTGCCAAAAACTCTAAGAAGAATTCTACATTCATAATATAGATTTCTCAAAGTTGAAACAGATAAAAATGAAATATATAATGAAATATATATAAATGTTTAAAAAACAAGGAAACTGCAAAGTAGTAAGGGACCCGAAACAAGGGAGAAACATCAGAGAAAAGCGAATTTAAAAATTGACAACCAGCAATGAAGGCACATCTTAATGTATTTTTATTTTCTAAGTGGAGATGTTTGGTAACAGAATCTTTTCAAGGAGGAGAATCCGAAAGGTTCCTGCTGCTCTCTAAGGCTGATTAGCTCCACAGATCCGTGGGCAACACGCCCAGGGCACAGAGAACGCTGCACAACCAACGCGACGAATCCACTCCAGGCAGTCTGAGAAACCCGGGAGATGGCGCCACCAATCCAGGGCAGGAGGATGGCTGCATTCCAAAACGCGCCCGCTGCCACGGGCCTCGGTGTCCTCCAGTCTGTCCCAGGGCTGGGGAGGACTGCTCAAGGGAAGCGGCTGGAGTGTGAGTCTATCGGGTTCCTCTGCCGGGTCCACCTCTTCTACAAGTGCCTCTAGCTGCTTCTGTGTCCCGGGCCAACTGAACTCAGCAGGCTGGTCTGTACTTGGTTCCAAGACACTCTGGACTCCGGAAAAAAGTCCGTTTCGCGGGTAGATCCAGTGTAGCAGCCAGCTAGGACTGGAAAGCAGTCCCAAATCACTGCTGTCCAGTGAGTACTCTCCCAGTACTGGATACAAAGGAAGAGGCCACGGCCCACAATCTTCTGAACTCACAATAGGCGGAGGCTGGGGCTCTGGCGCCACCTCCGCGGAATCCCAGGCACGCTTCTTCACACGGCCAAGAAAATGTTGTTCCATCTCTTAAGCCTCAGACCAAGAGGAAACAGATGTTTCCGCTGATCAAGGAGCGAGCGCCTTCTGCACTCCATCAGCCTGGGTATTTATGCTCTCCGGAGACCGTGGGCGGAGGCCAGCCAGATATTAAGAAACTCAATAGTAACAAATGAGCGAAAATTAGTAGACAATTGAAAAACGGTAACATTTTAGAGAGTACATAGAACCAAAACGAACCGTAATTCCGACAGAAAAACATAGCAAGAAAAGAAACCGAAATGAAACGGACACTAAGCAAACCTTGCAGCGAACTAGCGCTCCAGAACGCAGGTATTAAAGACCGCTTCAAGGGCCAAGAACCATCTGTTTCTCGAAAATGAGCATTTCGAGAAACCGTCCATTAGGGCTCTGAGCTACTCAGGATCTCGATAAGCAGAAATGCGCGTTGAACTTAGCAAGCGCAGGCACCTAGTGGATAGCGGGTGTACTGCCAAACAAATATCGATCGGTTTAGACGCCACAAATGGTGCTGCTAGAGAGAAACAGCGTGCTCTTAGAAAGGAGCGGTGCTTCCACGCCTAAACATCCTGTTTGGAGAAATGAACGGACTCTGTTTAAACGTGTTGTGACAGCAAAATGTGTTGTGGCATTTTAATGTGTTTTAATCGGTTTAATGTGTTTTAACTGGTTTTAATGTGTTGTGACAGAAAAAGCGCCGGCTAACGGTATCACGTTACTGGTGCCTACAGACGCTCGGTGCAATCACTGTTCTGCACGGCAAAACTGAGTTCAGGAAGTTTCTAGGAGATACTAGCACTACTAGGAACGAGAAAGTAACAGCACAGAGAACTTAACGACCCCGCGAAAGGGAAAAGTCAGGTTGGGTGCAGCAACTGAGAAAATGCCGAGTGGGCCGTACTGGCAAACTTGCTGATACAAAACCACGAGCTCCTCAAAAGAAGCGGAGCCTCCAGGCAGAACCCAGGACCTCACACCAGCGAGGCTAAGACCGAGCTGGGCTCCCGGCCCCTGAGAGAACGAAAGTCTACTCAAAATTAGTAGAAAAAACACGTAACATTTAAATAAAAAATTTAAAATAATAAAAGCCTGAAATGCAAGTAAAGGTGAAAACAAACATATCTGTAACATCGTTGTAAGAGCAGAAGACACAAAACTAATTTTTTAAAACGCAAAAATTACAGCGAAAAAAACCCTACAAAGAAGAAATTACAAATATTGCTAAACGATGCACTGCCTATCATTAGAATATCCCTGTCAGATCTAAACCCCTGCAGGTTGCTCCTGTCATAATTTCCTGCGACAGAAAAAAAAAATAAGAACGGTTAAACGTGTTTACGACTAAAAAATCGTAGTAGCTGGTATATGCCGATATTGTCCACAAGAAGAAAAAGTCGCGTTCGGCGGGACATGCTATTGTCAAAGGGAGCTTGTAAAACAGAAATCTCGTTCGCCGCCATTTCCTGACTCCCATGGGAATTTCAAAAAGCACACAATTACAGCGAAGACCGGACTCGATATTGCGAAACCTAACTTGGTATAAGAGCTCCCAGGCACTGCTAAACTGCTCATCACTAAACCAAAAAAAAAAAAAAGAAAGAAAGAAAAAGAAATCGCATTAGCCGGTAGCCAGATTTCCACAGGAGTTAAACGTCTCTTCTGCAGCTAAAGCAGGGCTTACTAATAGGAAACCGGAACTTGACGGGACTAAGAAACTTGAGGCTGGGCTGACCCCATTATTGTCCTGATTAGAAATCCGAGGCTACAGGAAACGGGAGCTGCTGAGAAACCAGTCACAGAGTAACTTCGCCTTTCTGTGGAGAAACCGTGGCTTCCTACGACCTAGAAATCGCAGCCAGGGCTAGACCGGTGTTTGTCTTAAATCAGACTTGCTTGCGCTGAGAAATCAAACCGTGGCTATTCCCCTACTTGGACAGGGGGTACAAATCGCAGGCACCCCGAAATCGAAACTTGCTAGGACCAAGAAGCCGACGACGCGCTAAACCGCCGGGTTCTGCGACCGAGATGCGAGCGGCGCCGCCCCGGGACCGGGTTCTGGAGGCCGAGCCGGAGCCCGGGCGGGGGCGCTGGGAAGAGACCGTGCCCCGCAGCTCCCCTGTCACCCGCTCCGAGGAGCGGCGGGCTCCCCCCGCCCAGCGCCGCCGCGGTCCGAGAACACCAGGCTCGGCGCAACCGGGGCAGCTGCGACTTTGAATCTCTCGGATCTGCCGGCTGAGGGCCGCCGCCACAGAGAACCGCAAGCACAGAGCTGCGAACAGGAGACAACGCTCGGCCAAATGGCGGTGCCAGGAGCCCGCGAGTGACGGCAGCCGGCGGGGTTGCCAAGGACAACATTCGTTTTGGCGCAGCCAACCGTGCTGTCACCAAGAAACCATGGACGCTGAGAAAAAAAGAGGGGTTCGGCCACCGAGAAACTCCGCGCAACGAGTGCTGTGATGCGAAACCGCCGGCTCCGCGCCGCTGGCGAAAGAGTCAACGGGAACGCCGGGTGCTGCCACCCTGACGCCGGCACTAGAGGGCCTCGGATGGAGAAAGCGACGCGCGGAGACCAGGAAACTGTGCAGAGCACAACTAGCAGCTGACACAAGCAGAAAAGTGTCTGATCGGCTCTCCGGGAGAAAGCGCGGATCAAAACCAGCAACTCAGTGCAGGAAACCGTGCGGCCACTCAAGAACGTCATCCACGTCGCGGTGGTGCCAGAGAAACACCGCGATTTCGGTCACTGCCGTAGGAAATCACAGAGAAACACGCGCTGCCACTGAAGTACATCGAGCTCCGCGCGACCAGTGGTTCTGCGATCCACAAACCGCCAGTTGGGCTCGACTAGAAACTTCTGAAAAACTGTCATCCCACAGCAGCTTTCCCACACACGACAGAAAATCGCCTTTAGGGGGAGCACCTAACGGTGCTGAGACCCGCCTGGGCCAGCACAAAGCGCAGAGCGGTCACTTTACCGAGAAACGCCAGACTTGGTAAAACCAACCTTGCGACCAAGGATTCTACCGGCCTCGCGGGACGCAGCCGGCGAAGGTGCGGCGGAAAAACCGCAGGCTCCGTTCACCGAATATGTTGGGGGGCCAGGTGTGGCGGGCAACACCCACGAAGTTGTGAAATCAGAGGCGCTGGACCCAGCGATCACCTGCCCGTAGCAAACACCTGTGCTCTTGCAAAAAGCAACTTTTGGTGGAAACAGGGTGGCGGTCAGAGAGCATCCGCTGACGCTGACAAAGGAGTGGCCTTGGCGCTGAGAAACCGCCGGCAGTGGGAAAGGAGCCGTGCAGCGACCGGCCAACTGCGCGCTCGGTTCCACCCAAGTGCTGCCGACTCTACCCACTTCTACCCCACGGGCTTAGGGAAATCTATTATCTTTTTCTTTTCTTTCTTACCTTTTTTTCCCTTCTGCCTCTCAGGCTGGTGCAGTGGAATTTTCTCGGGTTTGTGCAGCCTCGACTTCCTGGGATCCCGCGATCCTCCGGCCTCAGCCTCTAGAGCAGCCCAGACCTCAGGTGCGCGCCACCACCCCAGGCTAATTTTTTTTTTTTTTTTTGTAGAGACCGGGGTCTTGCTATGTTGCCCAGCCTTGTCTCAAAACCCTGAGCTCAAGCGATTCGCCTGCCTGGACCTCCCAAAGTGCTGGGATCACAGGCGTGGGCCACGCACACCTGCAGGAAGTCTGTATTGTTCTTGCGTTCCACCCAGTGCGTTGCGCAGGGGGAGAGGAGGCAGTTTAGGTGCCCAGAACCAAGCGGATCCTGTTGGTCCCAGGAATAATGTAAAAACCAGTCTGGTCGCCAACAGCTTCCTACGCAGGAAACAGCTATCCAACCTTCCTGCCTGGGCCCTTCCAGGCCACCCCCTGGTTCCCAGCTCTCCTCCCCGTCCAGAGCCCTCAGGATCCTACAGGAGGGGCGGACAACTGCTTGCCTTCGAAACTTGAAACTCTCGGTTTAAGGTTCCGAGAGGAGAGGAGAGTGAAAGGCACTGCGTTTTCTGACCGCAGCTTCAGACCTCCCTCGCCGGTCCCAGTACCTCTCCTGCGGGATAGAACTCTGTGGGAACCGCTCATTGATTCTGATGGTTAACTGTCAGATGTCCTTGATATTAGCGGATAGGAGTTGGAAGAGGGCAGGAGAGAAAAACGGACTGCAAAACTCCAGCACAGGAGGTGGGATTGATGGCAGATGTCTGCTCTCTATCCAAGCCCAATGAACATCTCATCTCAAGCTGCCATCCGCTTTCCTATACCCTTGATCTGTGAAATGGATCACTGACTTTTCTCTATCTTTCGGGAAACGCAAAGCAGGTAAATTTCAAAAGCTTGAATTCTCTCTCACACTTTTCAGTCACTTGTGGGGCTATGGGCAGGGCAGTGGCTCACGTTGGTAATCCCAGAACTTTGGGAGGTAAAGGTGGGCGGATCATGAGGTCAGAGATGGATACCATCCTGGCCAACATAACCCCGTCTCTACTAGAAATTAAAAAAAAAAAAATTACTTGGGCATGGTGCTTGCCTGTAGTCCCAGCTATTCCGGAGGCAGAGGCAGGAGAATCGCTTGAACCCAGCAGGCGGAGGTTGCAGTGAGCAGAGATCGCATCACTGCACTCCAGCCTGGCAACAGCAATAAAAAAAATAAAATGTGTGGGGAGCTATAAACTCCTTCCTCATAGGAATAAGGAACTGCCACTCTGCCACTGCCTGGAAGAAAAACATCTTTTTCCCATAAACTTTCACATTTCCCAAAAAAATCTACACCTCCAGATGTAATCCCCCCAAGAGACCTACAGACCCTATTAAGAGCATTCACACATGAACGCAACATCTCCAAACAGCATCCTGAAGATACCATGCAACCAACTCCATCCTTTTCTAGTTGAACCTGGGCAGAGAACAGGTCCAGAGGATCTCAGAGAAGGGCCTTGACAAGTCAGGAGGCCCAATTTGGGGTCACAATTCTCACCCACTGCAAGGCCTATGCCTTGATCTTCCCCTACCACCATACTATATCTTCTGCTAGCTGGTTTCTCCCTGGTATTTGAAGATCCTCCAGTTGCCTCCTGGTCCTGCAGACAGGAGAATAAACAAAAAATGGCATTGTTCCCACCTAAAAAGTTATAAGCACTTCACCAGAAGGAACTGCCCAGGCAGAGCCTTTTTAAAACAATGCTGCCCACTGCTTCACCCTCCTCATTTTCACCCCAGCAGAGCATTTTAGCAGAAAAGCTAAGAATGGTTAGCTCCCTCCTGTAATCCCAGCACTTTGGGAGGCTGAGGTGGGAGGGTCACTTTAGCCTAGGAGTTCAAGACCACCCTAAGCACGAAGCGAGACCCCACCCCTACAGAAAAAATTGAAAATTAGTCAGATTTGGTCACTTGGGCCTATAGTCCCAGCTACTCGGGAGGCTGACATGGGAGGATCTCTTGAGCCCAAGGTGTAGGCTGCAGTGAATGGTGATCTGTAACTGCACCACTGCACTTCAGTCTGGGTGACACAGGAGACTTTTTCTCAAAAAAAATTAAATTAAAAAGCTGGGATTATGATCTCTGTAAGAAAGGTCACCTGAGACATTATTACATATACCATAAACAGTGGGAAATGCTGCAAATTACACTGTGTTCCAACGGTAAGAGGCCACCACTTAAAAATATATACCTATTTCAGAGATACTAAAATGAGAAAAATCTTTAACCTACAATTGATTAAATTCAGGTATGCACTTCTTTACTTTCAACCTTTAGTGCCATTTTAGTTTGTTTACATCTTGAAAATAGCATAGAGATTAGAGTTGTGATTTTTTTATTTTTTAAATTATTTTTATTTTATTTATTTATGAGACAGAATCTCACCCTGTCCCCTAGGGTAGAATGCAGTGGCGTGATCTCGGATAACGGTAACCTCTGCTTCCCAGGTTCAAGCCATTCTTGTGCCTCAGCCTCTTAAGTAACTGGGACCACAGGCTCCCGTTACAACACCTGGGTAATTTTGGTATTTTTAGAAGAGACAATGATTTGCCATGTTGGCCAGGCTTGTCTCAAACTCCTGGTCTCCTGTGATCCACCCAATCGGCCTCCCAAAGTGCTGGGATTACAGGTGTGAGCCATTGTCCCTGGCCAAGCAGAAATTTTTTAAAACCTATTTTTATTATAGCATTTGTTTTTTCACTATTTAGCCAATACATTTAAATGGCTGGGTAAATGGGAAAATAATCTCCCCCAGTCCTCCAGTATCTATGGGGTCTGTAAGGTGTGATTTATTGTAAATACTTTCAGCTTCTTGCCTCCCCTTTTAGTTCTCCTCATATATTGTGTGATTTGTGGTATGAACATCATTATTCATGACAGACACTGGGCCCACTGTATTTTGTGCTTTACCTTGTGTCATTCTCAACTGACATCTGTGATGAGCACATGCTTTGTGCTGGGCTTGCTTCTCAGTTCTCTCCATCATATAGATGCACAGCCCCACTTAGGGAAGTTGGAGTGTGCACAGCTCTGCCTGTGGCTGAGCAGATAAATGTAATTTTAGTATTCAGTGTTAAGAAATCAACTCTTGGTACAAATTTAAAGCTCATCTTCTAATGTGTTTGTGTGTGTGTGTGTTTGCACGAGCATGTGTGTGTTTGATGTTACTATGTCCCTTCTTGTTAACACTCCAGTTCAAGATAACCAACCTACATTCTGAGTTGATTATTCTGGACACACTCTCTCAAAATATGAATATAGGACACCAGAATACACCATCACGATATACCAATATCCCTCTGGCATATTGATTATTTTGGGCCAGGCATGGTGGCTCACACCTATAATCCTAGTGCTTCAGGAGGCCAGGAGTTCATGAGCAGGCTGGGCACATAAGGAGTCCCATCTCTACAAAAGTATTTTTTAAAAATTAGCTGGGTATGATGGCATGAGCCTGTAGTGCTAGTTACTAGGGAGGCTAAGGCAAGAGGATGGCTTGAGTCCAGAAGTTTGAAGTTATAGTGA